TCTTCACAACTTTTTCTTTTTCGCTTAGCGGATCTTCGATGGGTTTCCCTCGGCCACATCCTGTGGGATATGAATGTTGTTTATTAGGCTTCTTTTCATATGGGAGGTGTTGCAGTTCCCTCTCGGGGCTTATGGAGATCTATTACCATATTGATCTCTCTGTAGTTGTCTGGTTTATTCCTTATCCATATTTATCTCTCGGCGGTGGCATAATATTTTCTGGTGGATCCTCTCTGCCAGCTTCAGCAGTTTACTGCCTTTTGCTTAGCCTCGTTTGACTTTTATCATGTGGTGGACATGGCTTTGGAGTCATCCAGTGGGAGGAGTGTTGGTGTGGTTGCTTTAATTGCTGTCGCCACTCTTGTTGATCACGGCTTCAGCCTAGTAACTTTTATGTGTAAGGAATGTATACTTCTAGAGCTCTTTGTTGTTTCATGTCTTGTGTGTTGTGAGCTCTGCTTTATGTTTGTGAGCGTTGTTTTATGTTTACTTCGATGTATTATGGGTCATGTTGTTTTGTTTTTGTGTGATTGTGTTTTGTGGTCCTATTTCTTGTAGATGTCCTAGGACTTTTATTGCTAGAAAAAAAAAAAAAAAAAAATACAACCACTTTAATACTATAATTGACATAAGTGAATGGACGTCTTATATTTGAGATTGAAAAAAATTAATATAAAAATTGAATAAAATTTTTAAAAATTTTAAATTCAATGGTTCGACTCGATAGTCTCATACATAACATAAGTAATCTTTATTTTTGAAATGTCAAGACCACCCAAGTATGGGTTGTTGAATGTCATTGTCTCCTAATCTACTAATCTAGATAATTGTAAATCAAAGTTATTCAGCAACAGTTACTAGTATAAAGCAACGGTTTAACTTTCCTTGAGATTATATAAAATTACATACAAATAGAGCATCTGACTTTTATTACTTTCATATTGCCTAAAAATATGAAATATTTTTATACTCTTATCTAATTTAATAAAAAAATTATCAAACTAAAAGACTTTATTACATTTTATTTTTTTCTCCATCCTGTAAACAATATATTACCCTACCTAGGTTGTATTTTTTTTATTATTATTTTTTTGGAGAAAACAAAAAGAAACCTAATCAAATTTCATTAACAAAAAAATATATATATATCTATATTTTTGTAAAATTTAATAATATAAATTTAGTATGAAAATTGATATTTTGCATTTTACAATATTTTTGTCATTTTCATATTAAAATATAATGTTATTGAAGTCATTTAATACGAAGAAATGATAATATGATTATTTTTTATATTTTTATTAACAGCAGGGTACCAGTAAACACATGCATCAATAATAAATGTTAAAGGCTTCTGTGTGTCATTTACACAACCCTGGGTGACCTAAACCTCGGGTGATTTACTAATTGTTTTTGAAGTTGTGATAAGTAATAGATTTAGGATAATATTTGCCTACTTATTGGTGAGTAGGAAATTTATATTTGCTAAATTATAAGTGTATTTACATTTAAAATAATAAAAAATTCGAGGTAAACTCAAATGAATTCGAATCAAATTATAATTCTCTCTCTTCTTATATAGATTATTTTAGATATACAAAACTAAATAAAAAATATACTTTTGTTGGTTATATATAGTCTATTTTAGAGGTACAAAACTAAATAAAAAGTAATTCTATAATATAAGGACATTTGTCAATTTAGCATTATGCTACATATATAGTGAGTATAAATTTTCTAGACACTGATAAATAAACACCGATGAATAGACAAGTACTATCCATATATTTATACCTAATCAAAGAGATTTCTTAAGCTATATGGATCACCATTGGGTGTGGAGTGTGTGGACCCTTTCGGTCCCCAATACATCATCATCGTCCCCACGAAAAAAGCCCTTTTCTAACACGCGTGACCAAAACACACTGTATATGTCGAATCCTATTCGTCGACGTCCCATGTTAATTAACGTCTCCATTTGTTAAGACACGTTTGACCATATCATGGCTACTAATCCCACACTTCAACACCCAACTGTGTATAATTTTCGACCATGGTGATACTGAATCTCTCTTGTCGACTTTCATAATTCAACACCAAGACATACATCGGATATATACGTAATTTTTTTTCATAGGACTGGTCTTAAAATACAACAATTATACCATTCAAAATTTGATAATTTTGAAATCTTTATTTTATTATACAAGATATATAACTTTGCTGAATAACTTTGATTTACAATTAACTTTGCTGAATAACTTTGATAATTTATACTAGTAACTTTGCTGAATAACTTTGATAATTTATACTAGCAAAGTTAATTCTATATTCCCTCGTCTAAATTTGATAATTTTGAAATCTTTATTTTATTATACAAGATATATATAACATAAATAAAATAAATATAATATGACTCACCATTTCTTATTATTTTTTTTTTAATTTTATAATATATAATGAGCAGCGTTACACATCTCCAATATTAATTGAAATTGGAGATGTGATTTTGAATGATGATAACTAAAAGGATGTAAATGTTCTATATTTTAATACATATTACACTTTATTTATTTATTTTTATATTTGTGTTTCGTATTTTAACAAAAATTTGGCAATTGAGAGAAAAAGTTAGAATGAAGAATTACACTAATTCTCTCCATCTCTAATTTGTTTTTCTCTACTAATATTTTTCACCGTATATATATTCTCTTTTGCACTGTCTCAACTTTTTTATATTTTTGGTTGGGTATCTAAGTAAAATTTAATCATAATCAGAAAATACCAAATTAAAATACAATTATAAAAAGCTTTTAAGTGAGTTATGTAAATCAGGGTCGTTAAAAATTGTAACTTCTAGTTTTAATTATTTAAAAATTTAATAAAAAAGTTTTCAAAACGAAAAAAAATATAATAGTAGAATTGAATTCAGGTTATTGAGTTATATTATGGGTTTAGATTGTATAAGATTAAATTTTACTCTCTCTCCTATATTAAGATCTCTTTTATGTTAAAAAAATTATTTTTAAAAGAAACAAAGTAGGCAAATAAACTGAAAAATAAGAACCATCTAATTGGAGATAAAAGCACAAATATAAATTTGTGAAGTATACCATTTTTTAAATATAATAGAATGTGATTCTGTACGGTTTTAATTTTTTTTGGAAAGAGTTTATCAAATAGTTAAATTCATCACATGCCTTGTTAGGCCAGAGAGAAATTATAAGACATTTCTCAAATATTTTATAGATATTTTTATAAGATATTTCATTGAGAAAAGTTTGAATTATGGGCAAGTCAAACACTTTGATTTAATTTTCTTTTCTTTTCTAATTAGTCATATTCCAAAATTTTGTTTGGTTCCCATTGTAGCAGCGCACAGCACTCGAAGCTATGTGTAGAACTTTAGCCGGTAAATAAAATTCTGGTGAAAAAAAAAAAAACCTTGAGCAGGAAGCCTTAATAAGAACTTAAACTTGGTTCGGGTAATTATAAAATATAAAAAGGAAAAAAATAGTATTAATTAGAAAATAAAATAAAGAAAAGTTTTAATTTCATGTTTTGATAATTTAAAGGAAAAAGACAAAAATGATATCATGACTAAAACCACACTTACCCAATGTTCCGTATAAAAAAAGTCTCCCAACTTTTTCATGTTGATGACTTTTTTTTTTTTTGTTATTTTTTGCATATTCAACTTTTATTATGTAAATTCATTTTAAGAATATATAAGATCATAAAGGTTCTACATCAATAATAACTCTTTCTTATTTTCGTAGAATTCATCATAATTCATAATTGTCAAATAAACGATACAGCATCACTAGCAATAAAAAAATAAATAGATACTAATCTTATTTGAGTCATAAGCTATTATATATTGATCTAATTTTAAGTACTTTTTTATTAAAAAATTGTAGCGTTCAAACATGTATGTTGGCAGTTTTGTTTTATGCTATGTTAGACTTGGGAGGAGTTTTGTCGTACATGGGATTGAAAAAGATAAAAAATAAATAAAAATATTGGGTGCAGTGAATGGGTAGGTTGTTGGGAAAAAAATAAAATGTGAAGGTGACGGTCAGTATTGACTATTGAGTAACTAACTATTACGAGTAAAAGATAGTAAAAAAATAAGTAAAAAAAATTTATTTTATTTTGTTACTAGTAAGGACAAAACAAAAATTAACTTATTTAAAAAATTTGAGACAAAAGAGATAATTACCAATTATCCTATTCTTCCATTTCAAATCTTTTCAATTTTATTTTTATTTTTTTTATAAAAGAGAGCCAAAACCCTATTCAAATTTCAAAGGGTTAGATTATTTATTTTTCTTCTATAAATCGTCTCATCTTATTCGGGTTTGTTTGGTTAGCAGGCTAGAAAGGAAAAGAATTTTTTTAAAAAAAAAAATAAAAATAGTGGAGACAAATAAGTAAAAAGAATTATTTTATTTTGTTACTAGTAAGGGCAAACCAAAATTCACTTATTTAAAAAAATCAAGATAAAGAAGATAATTACCAACTATGGTATCCTTTCATTTCAAATCTTTTCATTTTTTTAATAAAAAAAGAGCCAAAAAACTATTCAAATTTCAAAGGATTAGATTATTTTTTTTTCTTCTATACTAACCAAATTGATATTGAAAATTTATTTATTTATTTTAGTTCACTTCACTTTCTTTAACACGTAGATGCATGTTTGAAGGAAATATATATATATATATATATATATATATATATATATATATATATATATTTTTTTTCTCCTTCCCCCCCTGTGTTTTTTTTTCCTCCCCAATTGCAAAGGAACTCTGCACACCTTGGATGCTTGTTACCAAACACAACACATTTCACACAGCTAGCCAAAAAGAAAAGAAACGACCGTGGTGACTGTAATTATCATTTTACTTTTTATTTTTTATTTTTTTATCCTTCATTTAATTACACTAAAATAGTAGAGTAATTAACTTTCCATTTATATTAATATACCCCTCTCTCTATCTGTCTCTCTCTTTCTTTTCTGGATGTTTATTACTATTCATGTCAAGAAGGAGCAACAAGAGAGAGAGCGCTATCGTTTTTACGGCCGCCTGAACACTCTCTCTTTCTCTCTCTAGAACTCTTCCTCTGTTTAATCTATCGATCATCTAAAAAGGTGAGATTATTTCATTAACTTTGCTTCAGTGTTCCGCTTGACTTTTTCTGATTCTCTTTTTCTATTGTTCGCATATTTTTATATTTGTTTCTATTTTCGATTGCGTTTTCCACATGGAATTATTTTCAGTGGTTTCGTAGATACGTTTTAAAGTTGAATTTGTTGATGTTTAACGCAAGAAGCACCTAATTAAATAAAAAATTTGTGATACTTTATCCCTTGGAAGTTTGTGTAACTGGCAAATTTTGCTAAAAGGAAAGTAATTGACCGATTTCAAGAACTCGAACGTGCTATAACTTAATTAGCTGTTGTTTAGTTCAGAATTCTTTATGTTTCGAATTTTGTGATTCCGGGTGAGAATATTCAACTACCTGTAAATAATTATAATTGTGATATTAACATCCATGTAATGTTTCAACTTCAGAAACTGTAGAACGAAGCTCAATCAAAGTAACATGGGTTGTATTCAGTCTCTTTTTAAGCATTGTACCTGCTACAGTAGTAAAAAGCTCAATCAAGGACCATAAATCCCTTCATATTTTATCAGGAAACCCCCTTGCTTGCAATAACTGTTGAAATTACTCATGACAGCTAATTGGATCAAAGATGTTAGTAGACATTTCGGAGATAAAAGTGAAATAGAAAGAATTTAGTTTAGTGTTGAGATTATGGCGGGGAAGGGGTGGTGTGTGGGGAAAAATCCGGAAATGGCATTTTTCTTTTGGTTGATATATGACATTAGGTGCAAAAATGTACGTGAAAAGGATTGCAATGTGCATCTCGAGTGCATTTCACAGTTAAGAGGCATAACCATTAGGTTTGTGCTTGAGGTGTTACCTCATGTCACAATTTTCAATTTCTTGTTGATTTAACAAGATTTTGGATACCCACCTCTAGTTGCAAGTGTAGTTGTTTTAGGATGGCTCGGAACTTAGTATTTCCGTAGCATTTTAAACTGTCATGCAAGCGGTAGTCCCCTTATGATTTTGATTATATCAGGCATGGCTTATCATTTATGCTTATCTTAGCAGGAGAGGAAATTTTAAGCATGGCAAAGAATGAAGAATCAGCTAGCCTTAGTTGGGGTACTTTATTCTTCACACAGACTACAGAGGATGTCGCAAGAGCTGTTGCTGCTGCAACTGCAGCTGCTACCCCTGTTCGTTCACCACGACCATCAGTGGTATTTTCATCAAAAGATGACAGCAGCAACAGCCAACTTCAGAAAATTCAGCACCATGTTTCTAGAATACTAAATGGCTTCTCACAACCTTCTGAAGTCAAAAGTGGAACCTACAACCCAGAAGTGCTAACTAGCCAAAAGCGTCAATGGACAAGTTATCAGTTGCAATCCCTGGTATGCTCCTTTTGGTCCTCCTAACTCATTTCTTTAGAAATAACTTCTTATGTTAATCTTGCTTTGCAACTTTTTCTGTCTTGCTTATAAGTCATTGTGATTTGATTTCAAAATCTAGTGCTTAATTTGAATTGCAATTGCTCTTAGAAAAACAGAAGTTGAGATAAGTAGTGCAATCTGAGTTTGAGTCTGCTCAGTTTGACATCAAAGGTCATTCTACAGTGCTATTCCCACCTACGTGGGGTGCTGGGAGGGAGACTAGAGAGAGAGACTTTGCCTTTGGCATTGTTTGCACTAACTGGCTGCTCTGGATATCGAATACTTAATATTCTGGGTGTTTTGAAATCTATCGATATAGAGATGTCTGGATGCGAGACTTTATATACCATTTCCCCTTCATATAGAATTGAGATGTCATTATAAAAAGAAATTTCTATTCTTTGTGTAAGCGTATAAATTATTTTTATTTTATTATGCAGGATCATAGGTCTTTAAAAGAACCATCAAAGCTATTTGAGAGCATAGTAGTTGTTGGAATTCATCCTAATTGTGATATTCAAGCACTTCAAAAGCAGTACCTCGCAAGAAAGTCTGAAGGTTCTGGGAAATTTCGAAGTGATCTTAGTCGTCAGCATCAATCGAATACAGAACCTAACCTTGAACCGCAGGTGCTGATTCTTTATATTCAGATTGTTGCGCATGCTAGCATTTAGACCAGAGGGAATGTTTTAATTATGAGAAATGGTTTTTCATTTTCAGGTTTTATTTGTTTACCCACCTGACAAGCAGCTACCACTTGAACATAAGGATCTCCTTTCATTTTGCTTCCCTGGAGGCCTGGAGGTTGGGTGTCTATATATAATAAGTTATTTTCTTCAATTCATTGATGAATTATTTTATTCTGAAAAAGGTTCTAAGTGCTTATTTTCAGTTGTGTCCCATGGTTGGTTATGGACATTGTGGATTCATAAACTTTAATTACATATAATATATCTAGTTGTTCTCTTCTGTGGTTTGTAGTTCAAGAAAACAAATTTTAATTGATTTCAAAGTTAAAATTAGTATCATTAGTCTAGAGATATCAAAAGAAAAAAAGGAGGGATTTGTCTATCAGATGGGGCACAAACAATTCACAAATGAATTTTATTGGCCCTCACATATTACTATCTAATCATAAACAAGGGAATGCGACCTACACTTTAATCACTTTTTTTAATCAGGGCACTGGACCCCAAATTTATAATGAATTAATGGGCTTGGATATTCAATTTATTATCTTATTCTCTCTACTATATTATCTTATCCCTTATACAATATTTTCCATATACTTGACTCATTTGAGATATTTACCTATGCTTATATTGTCTCTTCATCTACATATTTGCCATCATTTAACATGGATACAATCTTTTAAATGTCGGTATACATGATTTTAGGTTCATGCTGTTGAGAGAACTCCTTCAATGAGTGACTTGAATGAAATACTTTTTGGGCAGGTACATTGCAGTCTCCCACATTTTATTATTATATGAAATTTTCTTTACTTTAATTTACCTTCTTAATTAGTTATAATTTTTTAATTTTATTGTCTCATTTCTACGTAATTCTGGTGTTAATTAGATTTCGACATAGATTTGATATAAAACAGAGTGAAGTTGTCAAGTCCATGGTTGTTAAAATCCCGATTCGGATCGTCCCGATCCATCCAAAATCGCTGGGAAGTAGAATCTCATAGGATCGCACGATCCTACCGATTCTACTAAATAGTGTTATTTTTGTTCTTCTTCACAATTTATTTGGGCCTAGAATTCATTTTGGACAAATAAAGTTAATCATTTTAAATATAAAGTTCAACTCTTAGCCTAATTACATTAAAAAATTAAAAATAAAAAACAAAAATCAAAGACCCAACGTCAAATGTAGAGATGATCCAACTTTGAATTTCAAAGGTATGGTTCAAAACTTCAAAAATTTGTTCTTTTTTGTTTTATTCTTCTTGATTTATCTTTTCATCTTTCTTTTTCAGTACAAGAACAGAGAGAATTCTATTTTTCCACCTAAATAAAGAGAGACTTCATTTTTTTTTTGTTGTCCTTTCTATCTCTATTTTGTTCCTATTATTTACCCAAAAAGTAAACTTTTCAACTAAATTGCTCAGACAATTAGGCAACTAAATTGTACTTTCTCTCTCTACTTCTTTGTTCCCTTTTTCTATTTGTTTAAGCTTTAGTTTAATTTCTGTGAGATTCTGCTTGATTGTTATGCTGATGTTTTTGTTGAAATCAAGAAATTGATTTTAAGTGTTTCTCATGTGTCTTAGTATCTTTTAATGTTAATTGGTTTTGCTAGAGTGTTTAATGTGGCTATATCGAAAATATTTGATTAAGAAAGTTAGTTCTATCTAGATTCGATCCTATGGACCCCTCATTGATCCTACATAGAAAGCCGATCCTAACAACCTTGGTCAAGTCTTCACTGTGTGGAACTCATATGACTGTCAAAACACCTTTCTTTTTACGAAGAATACTTCTCTATTTAAAATTATCATTATTTGCCTTTGCAACTGGTGATATAATGTGCAAAATTGAAACAACTTTATAATTATATAATCTGTTTCTTGTGAGAAAATGATCTCAGTAAGCATTCTGCTATTTTTTCAGGATCACCTTAAACAAAGTGATCTGTCGTTCGTATTCCGGTTACAGGTAATCTATGAAATACTGTGTCACAGGCTTTCTGCTTTATATATATATATATTTATTTATTTAATTTGTGCTGTTTCTGCATTCTAGTTGAGTTTAAGATGACTTTATTTTCACTTGAAATTTCTATTTGAGATGCTAACTTTGTATTTCATGAGACAGAAAAAGGCTTCTTCTTACTTCCAAACTGTGATTGCTTTATTAATGTGGACATTATCTTTTCCATTTGCTTGTTTGGGGCGACCATTCCCTGATTGCAATGTTTCATTGTTTTCATATTTTTATTGTCTCTTAGTGGTCTAGCTTGAATGTACTTGAGTATTGTTAGGACCAGAGTACTCAAAAGTATGAAGCACTGTTGAATACGGATGGTTCATAACTTTAATTGTATTATTTTTTCAACCTTTTCAGGTTGCCTTATCGGAAACCTGGTATGCAATGACTTTGTTCTATTTTTGATATCTGTTGAAATTTTCTTCAAATTGAATTTCTTGACCTAAAAAATAGTGATTTAGCATGTCTTTAACAATCTATTTACGAAATTTATACTTGTGGAACCAGTGCTCAATTGTGAAGTGCTGCCAGCCTGCCACCATCTCCCAGGCGACCAAGTCAATGTTCTATAATTTTTGTGTTCTGCTGACTTGAGTTAGATTTCTCTTCTTCTTTGTTTTTTTTTTTTTATTTATTTTTATTTATTTTTATTTTTAATTTTCTATTAAGTGTTCTTTAAGAAAGTACTTTTGTTTATTTACAGTTAATATTCCCATTTGGCTATAAGTTCTTTGTGATTATGCTCAATTGTTATTTTAATGCATGTCATTTCCAATAAATTAATGTTTTAGTTCAAGCCTATATTGCAACCATTTTTCTAACTTATGAAAGTAACATATTTTTGCTTCAACCTTCTGCGCAAGTAGTTTTTAAGTTTTCTGAAAGACTGGGTAAGGGTGGGGGCTTGCTTTCTGGCAAGGCCAAGTTCATAAGGACTCAAATGCATGCAGAGTATCCCCTAGAGAAAGTCAATGAAGTCCTCTCGAGTCTCGAAAGGCAGCGGGACAGTAGTTTTGATTCCATTAATAGCAAAAGTACACATTCTCAGACTATTTCCTTTTTTGCAGGTTGCTGATGATTCAACTTTGTACGGTTGCTGTGTGCTAGTTGAAGAACTAGTGCAAAAACCCTCTGGCCTGATTTCCATGATTTCGGATGCACAATCTTTCCGCTCTACTTTGAGCCGCCATATATTAACCACGCGGCGGTGTTATTGCATTCTTTCAAGGCTTCCATTTTTCGAACTGCATTTTGGTGTACTGAATAGGTTTGTTAATGCTGGTTTTCAATGGAAATCTTCTCTATAATTTTTGCATGGAGTCCTGTTGCCTGCTTTAAGAGTAGCTTTTTGTATAATTATAATACGTAGGAACTTTGAGTTTGTGTTGTTTAGCTGATTTTGTATGGAAATGACTCCATTGAACTATATTCACAGATGACGGATTGTGAACATGTTCTTTCTTCTTTACTAGTATTTTGTAATGCAATTTTAGTAAATCATCTAATTGAAATTTCAGTAATGCAAATGGTATATTTTTGGTCCTTTTAACAATGAATGAATTTTGTAGGCATTATAATGAGAAGGAAGAATAATGATTTACAAACCGAGAGAAGGTGCCAACTTCGGTCGAGTATCTCAAGCCCCTTGAAGTTGGCACATTCTCACGGTGTATGTAGCACCACTCTTAGATGAAAATGTAGCATTCTTTCTGGCTTTTTTCCTCCATCTGCTCATTGGAAAATGTAATACCTAGGTTTTTGGTTCTCGAAATTTTCACTTTTAATTTTTTTTCACTTGTATTGTTTGAGAACATGTTGATAATTGTTAAAAGCATATTATTGTTTAATGTAAAAGATAAGTTCACCTACTTGAATTCAGAAACCCATCCGATTGAAGCTTTTTCCCTTGCAGAGAATTCCCTTGACTGATTTAAATAAACACATTAAGGCTGCTTAGAACCTCCCTTATATTATATTTCTCCAGAGAGGTTTATAGTGTGCTGTTTTTTGTTTAGCTGTCTGCTTGCAGTTGTTAACAGATTGTTTTTCCGGTTCTTTTTTTTGTTGAGCTGCTTTCCTTCTAGGGGTTCCCCTCTTTTTGCAATAAAATCTTACTTACCAAAAAAAAGGTTCAATTTTCTGTTCTTGTTGTCGCTTATAAAAAATCCCTTTTTCTTTTGCCTCTCTAGCATCTTCACTGAAGAAAGGTTGGAACTGTTAACAAAAGGTATTGCTAAATTAGATTTGGAACAACCTAATGAGTATTGCGAGGAAGAAATTTTAGAAGAAAATTTTGTTGGACTTTCACTGGAACAAAGGGAACTGGGCATGCTGAATGGAACAGAAGAAAATTCCCAGTTAAACAAAAGTGTTTCCACCCCTGGAAGAGTCACCGATAATGTGTGTCACCTTGAGCATCAAATACTTGAGGTGGGCTTTCACTTTTTGAAGAAAGGCATCAATGATGATGATGCTGTTGTTCTAGTTGATTCTGCAAAAGAAAAGCTTTCATCTAGAAGAAAATGTGGAGTTGCAGCACAGTTCCCTGAAGCTTGTGATAATTATGCTGATGAATCTGTAATGAACAAGCAACCAGTGGAAAGACGATTACCAAATGCTGTTTTGCCACTTCTGCGATATCAACAATATGAAAGTTCTGAATCTTCCTCCAGGTACATCCTTGTCAGTTTTCACTGTCATTGAATCAGTTCATATGTTTACTGGAGTAAGTAATATTGCGTATTGGTTAAGCATCCTCATGATTCATTTCAAGTTCAAATAAACTCTTAACTGGTGAGCGAATTTTGTAATACAATGCAGTATTACATCTGGAGTCTATGCTTTCTGAGTTTCTTCTATCCGAAACAGAAAAAAAGGAAAAAGAAAAAGAAAAAGAGAAAGACGTCAATCCACAGGGGACCCCTAAACTCATTTCAACCAAACAAAGTTTTATCTCAACTACTTCAAGACCAAAAGGTCACTAAAAATAGTGATTTTTGATATTGACGGTCCATGCTACAACATGATAGAGAGGTAGACGACGATGTAATAAATAGGGTTGGAGCAGGGTGGACAAAAAATGGAGACAAGTTGGGTTTTATGTGACAGAAAAATATCAAATAAGTTAAAAGGAAAATTCTGTAGGTTGGTTAGTGGATCAACTATTTTGTACAGAGTGGAATGTTGGGCACTAAATAGAAACAAGAACAATGTATTCATGTTGCTAAAATGAGAATGTTAAGATGGATAGTAGGAGTGATTAGAAAAGATGGGATTAATAATCAACATGTGAAGGAAAAAGTAGGAGTGGCACCTATTAGAGTGATAAAATAAGAGAAAGTAGACTTAGATGGTATGGTCATTTACAACAGGGACCCATGGATGCACCTGAAAAAAAAGGCAGATTTATTTGTATAAAATGTAAGAGACAAAGAGGCCGACCAAAACTCACTTGGGATGAAATAATTAGCCAGTCTTAAAAAAGTAAATATAATAGGATACATGGATTATAATAGAAAATAATGGAAAAACAGTATTCATGTGGCCGACCCTGTTCATATGGGATAAAGGCAAGGATGATGAAAGCTTTTTCACAACTACTTGGGGTCAGCATAAATCCTAATTTTCAATTCCGCTTTATCGGCCATAGCTTTAGTCAAATTACATGTTATCATATCTTTCCTTACTGACTCTACCCATCTTAATTTTGGTCTACCCCTTCCCATGGCATTACTCTCAATGTGATCATATCACTCTTCCTAGCTAGCACACTTGGGGGATCCCTACCGTCACTCTAATTTAAATTATGTAAAAAGTACTACTATACAAATTTGGTAGTCGATAGTGAACCAATCACAATATACATTTTCCTTTTGGTGTAAGGTAAAGGTACAAAGAATGTGCTTTCACCTTTAATATAGCAATTTGTGTGTGTATGTATTAAAATTAAGTTGCACCTTTTGTTCCTTGTGTCTTTCCTTTTAATATGGGCTGGAGTCTTGGAGATATGGTGCAAGAAAACCACAATATCAGAATTAACGTTTGCCTCCTATTTTCTTCATGCATAAACATGTGTCAATAATGTTGAATCTGTAAACTTCTGCAATGGTAAAGAAGCTTGATATTGTTGCCTTTGTATTGCCTGTGACACTCCTCGCACGGTGGGTCCACTGACTTAATCACAGGTTAGGCGTCTTGACTAAATTAGTTTCCCTTTATTTTCTGAGATAAATCCTAGCTGAGGATTCTTTGAACTGTTAGACCTAAATTTGATACTATTTTTGGTGGAGCTGACATAGTTTATCGTGAACTGCTTTTAATATGCCATATAATTGTCCGATGCAGTTTCCAGGGCTCTCCGAGTGAAGACAGAAATTTTAGGAGTGACATTGATGAAGCAGAGATTGAAGAGGCATCCTCCTCCGGCCAGGAATATTACAGTGACCACAGTGAGATTTTTGAATGGGCTAAGGTTCGAATATTTGTTTCTGATGTTCCCATAAATATATCAAGCTCTCTGCCACATCATTCTTGTGCTTCTGGAGTTTTCTCTAGCCAATTTTCATTTACTGTTTGTTTTATCAACATTTGCAGGCAAACAACCATGGACCATTGCGAATTATATGCGAGTATTACCAGTTATGTTACCCCACAAGGGGTTCAACAATTACGTTCCATCCTTTGGAGCACCTGCAGCCTCTGGAATTTCATAGACCTCATGAAACAGTTCTACGTATTGCTGGCTCGACAATTGCTTTGGAATCATGCAGTACGAGTTTGGAATTAGCAGAGGTGCATCTAATGATAGCTAAACTAATCCCTCCCCCTTCCCACTTTTTTTTTTTTTAAATTATTAATTTATCCTATTATCGTGTCTTTATAGTTGGTTTTTTTCTTTCAGACAATGTCTGTCTTCTGTATCTTACACTACTGATTTTTATAGGTACACAGTATGCTCATGGTGGAGGAAGAGGCAACTGCTTTATCTGTATGGGCGATTTCTTGCTTATGTGGCTCCTTGCGACTTGAGAATGTAAGTTTTTGCGCTATGCAGAGGCATTTCTTCTGAGAGGAAACCATTTTTCCCAAGTATATTCAGGGGAAAGTTTTGTTGTATTACTGTTTACCATTCCCTAGATTTTTGTCAGTATGTGATCCACTTGCCAGAAATAGGTACCTATATCTTTTTCATCGCTATTCATAAAAAAGCAGAACTTTTGATGTAGTGATGCTGGCATTTGAAAGTTTCATCTGTAACTATGGATTTTTGGGGCTTAATTATTGAAAGAGGGGGACTGAGGGGATGTTAGTAGTTATTGCTACAACATTTAACTATATCTAGTGAGTGAAAGGTTGAGTTTGATCATCAGATGTTGAAACCTACTTGTTGTACTTTGAATGTTCTGTTTCAGTAATTTTACAGTGATAGAAATTTTCTTCACCCTCAACATGATCTTATTTGGATTAGGTTCTCTCCGTCATAGTTCTGCCAGATCCCCCTTTCCCTTATCGTGGTCACTACATATTCTGGCAACTTATAGTGGAACCCTTTTTTTTCAGGAAACTCACACGTCCACTTTGTCCCTATAGGGACTTGAACCCTTGACCTTCTACTTCAGAAGGTGAGGAAGTACTACTAGGTTACGACCCTTGGTAGAGAAATTTTCCTTCTTGTTTTCTACTTTTGGAAAGAGAAAACCACAATCTCTTGCCCTCCCTCTTGTTTTTGTACTGCCTTCAACATGGACACATAAACTACTTCAAAGTCACCGGATCTCCTTTGTTATCTACTGTGCTGACAAAAGAAGCTGAAAGGTGACGTGACCTTGTCAGTTGGATTCAGTGAGAGTTCTGCTTTACCTTGTATCGAAAGATAATTGTGCTTGTTTTGTTGAGTCCCATTTATTGAAACTTTAGTAACTTCAATCTGCATTACCCTATATTGATTGTCTACAGTGTTTACACGAAGGGTGAATAAGGTTCTGAGTTGTTGATTCTCCTTGTGCTTACAGGTGTTAACATTGTTAGCTGGGGCTCTGCTTGAAAAGCAAATTGTGGTTGTTTGTTCAAATTTGGTATGTATAACCACTCACATCACATTGATCATGGTTTTGTGCAGATGAATTATCTCTGCACCTTAAGTTTAATTCTAATATTGGCAAATACCCAAGAATGGTTGGTCCCTCTGTCCCAAAAGTTGTAGGTACCCATTAACTACTATCTTGGCTTAGTAGCACCTGGGGGCTACTATTGATCTGACGCCTGGTGTCCCTTGAAAGAAATAATACTAAACAGAAGGCACCTAAACCTTAGGATTTTATTTAATTTCTTTTTGGATTTTAATTTGTTTCATATACAGGGAATATTGTCTGCATCAGTCTTATCAATAATTCCTCTAATTCGGCCCTATCAGTGGCAGAGCTTATTAGTGCCGGTACTGTTCCTTTCTTTTCTGTAAGAATTTTCATTCTACTTTCAGAAAACAGTTGCTTTGTGGGCAGTTTTATCACTGTTAAGACTGTCCTTTTGGGTCATGATTTTGATTTGACTATACATGACCTTCCAGGTTTTGCCAAATGACATTCTGGAATTCTTGGATGCACCTGTCCCATACATAGTAAGTTCTGCAATAGTATCTGAAAGCATGAATTTTAGGTGGGAGCATTACAGGAAAATGCATATGCAAATTTTGATGTTTCAACTTTCAATTACTCGTTTGTTCTTATCTTACATGCTCTTCAACAGTATGTGAAATACAACTGTTGGACATATGACATTTGGACAAGGGTGTGGGATATGAATCCAGCACATTTGGTCGACATTTTCCTTTAAAAATCATATCCAACAATTTGCTTCAAAATGAGTTAAATGCCTGTTTTTTTTTTTCCATAAATAGTTCAATGCCTATTTTGAACACCTTGTTACATAAAATGTTATTTACTATAGCAAGAGACTGTAAATATTAAATAATATGAATCTTTAACAGTGTCCCTATGTAATTCTATTTGGGGATTTGACACATCTTATGCTCGGACACATACTTACACCTGACGCACATACTTTAGTTCGCGTAATATATTGCTCTCTTCTTGCAATAAGATTTTGGGGTCGTTTGGTAATGTTTTTATTTCCTATTTCTTGTTTCCAAAAGGCCAAAAAACAGAAATAGGTAGAATAAACATGTTTGGTAACCTTATTTCTATTTTTAAAATTTGGAAACATGTTTCTCAAAAGCCCAATTTTTAAGAACAAAAAAAAGTTGTTTCCACTTGTTTCTAACCAAAAAACGGATTCATATTCCAACTTATTTCCAACTTATTTGCATATTAGTAGCAGCAGAGATCCCAAACTGAACTGTCTCTTCTTCATCACTCACGTTCTCTTCGAGCCCTCATCTAATCTCAGTCTTCATCACTCACGATCACGATGACAACTATCAAGTTCTCTCTCTCTCTTCTCCCTCCTCCTCCTTGTACACAATTTTTTTTTCAAGCACGACCAATTGAGTTTGTCTCTCTCTCTCTTTCTCACGCTCAATTGCAAGTTCTCTCTATCACTGTATTTGATTTTCTGTTTTTCATTGTGATTGACCCTAGAAATTGGGCCAAATCAAAAGCTGAAAGATAAACACTTGATTCATTAAATACACACACACACACACACACACACATATATCTAGCAAACATCTTTTCGTCTTTATTTATCCCTTTTTTGCTCTCTCTGTGTAAATTTTATTCTGAGTGTTTGATGCATGATATTCTCATCTAAAAACTGCCATTGAGTTTATACATAAACACATGCATAATATCCTATTGAGATGAAATGGCTTGTGCATGGGACAGTTTTAAGGGATTGTTACCAGTAAATGATGTTGAATCAATCAACACAGAATTTTGAGGGATGCCATCAACACAGAATTTTGAAGGAAGCCTTGTTAAGGACAATCAAGAAACAAGAAACATAAACAAATACATTACCAAATATGTTTAGTGTTTCCTATTTAGAAAATTCAAATAACAAATGAATGTTACCAAACACTGATTCTCATTTTAGGAAAAATACTTAGAAACAGAAATATATAGAAATAGAAAATGAGAAACACGTAAACATAAACGTTACCAAACGACTCCTTAGCTTTTCTTTTCTTATCAATAATCCTACTTTAGTTGAGAATGCTTGATAACAAAGCAGATACATGACAATGTGGGATGTTATAAATGCTGGTATTAGTTGTCTGTGTGTGTGTACAAAAATATGTAAAAATACATGTTGCATTTACTTTATTAATGATGATGCTTCAGTTGATTCCATCATGTAGCATTGGATATGCATCTTTGAGCTTAACTTTTGTTTTATCTGGAATATGAAAAGTACATGCGTTATGGATGTTTTTTGCCTTTTAGGTTTCTGGGATTAGTCATTTCTGTAATCATGTTCTATGGTTGTACCTTTTTTAGTTATTTGCAATTTATCTACTATCAAGGATTATTTTGACCCTTTTTTTTTTTTTTTCCCTACTAAATAGGTTGGTGTGAAGAACAAAACAATTGAACTCCAGTCAAAGTTAACGAATGTCATTCTGGTTGATGAAAACAAGAACCAGGTGGGTTCTCATAGTAGTTGAATTGTCTCATTGTAGGAACACATTCTTTTAATCATGATTGTTTAACAATGCATTTACGGGAAAGATATCATACTAAATCTTTTGTAATACAATTTGTAACAAAATTATCACTCACCTATATTAAGAAAGTACCAAAGCATTTCTATTTCTGGCTTGGACCCAAATTGATGTAGGATGATACTCCAATGATTTTGGCAGTACTACAAAATGAAGAATAAAGGTTCCCACAGTTGATTTTATAGTGGCCTAGGCTATGAAAAGCTATTAAATTTATGTATAAGCAGTGCAAATTTCTTTTAGGCTTTATGGATGGCAAGGGGTTTGAATTGGCTATGTTTTTTGATGTGTTTGGTTGCTGAAAATTCAGAATAATTTTACTGAAAATTCTGTAGAGCAGTTATTTATGATTTTTGGATGTTAGATTGTAGGAAAAATGATAATGGGTAGGGTTAGGGTCAGTTAGGATTTGATTGACTAGAGTTTTAGTAATGGACAAGAAGGGTTATGGGTTGTTCTGGGACGACTCCTATGCTGTTAACAATAACTTTTGCTCTTCTTGGGTTTGAGGTAAATAGGGTTGAATATTTGGTGAAGAAAATGATTAGGCTTATTAAAATAGGATTCTGGGATTAAAAAGGTGTAATCACAAATATAGAAGTCTAGAAAATTTAAAGTAAAGTAAAAGAAGAAAGTAGAAGCCACTTGTAGATTCCTTAAACATCACACCTAGTGTTAAAAATGATCATCATCCTGTTTCAAGATATCTTCTAAAGTTTCAGAAATTCTCGAACTGATCTCCATTGAAGTTAAAAGATTACATGGGTATATAGAGTTTTTGTGGTTTTTATTTTTATCCTCTTAAAAATAAGAATTTAATTAAGAACTTCGTAAAACCTATATAAACCAACCAAATTCCATTTTAAAGTAAATTGATCCAAAATATGCTTATGGACCGTTAACACATCCCATGCCAGCAAATACCATTAATTCCGAAACATAAGAAAACATAAATAAAACCTAGTTAAAGAAATATAAAATAAGACTTGACGCAAACTAAAACTTGATTGTAAGGGGTCGCAATTGAGTCCCGGTCATCGCAATTGAGAAATCAGAAGACAATTCTGCCTTTGTTAATTGTTTTCTATCGTATAGATCATTTGTTGACTATTTCTTCAGACATGACGAACAAATAATGAGATAAAGGATTACTTGCTCACCTTCATAGCACAGAAAGTGCCAGTTTATCTTGCCATAAGCTTTTCCTGAATCAACTTTAATAGCTAAACCCCCACTTCCTTTTCTTTTACTTTCTCCGAATCAACTTTAACACTTTGATGAAGTGCCTATATGCTTTTGCTTCTTTCATTTTGTTTGTCTGGTTCCTATTTGTTACATATGAGATCATCTAGTTTACTCTTTCAAGCTAAGTTATCTGATATATATTCTCGTTGCATGAGGCAATAGGTGAGGTCACCATCAATACCGCAACTACCACAACATAAGGAGTTATTTTCATCCTTGAGTCCTTACCATGCAAAACTAGTGGGAGAAGGTTACTTGGGGAGAAAAAGGCCAGTGTATGAATGTACAGATGTGCAGGTATGTTCTAGTACTAGAAGCCTTTCATCCTAATTTTTTTTTTCTCAACACTCAATCCTATAATTTTTAAGTATTGTGATAATTGGTTTGAGGCCGTAGTTTCAAACGAAGTTTTTATTTATTTAATTTATTATTTTTTATTCGAATGCTAAAATAGTATTACTATTTCATTTTTTGGTAGAATATGGCAAAAATTCAACAATAGTAATTGAAATTTTAGCATCATAAATAAAAAAGAATACACATGAGAAGAAGAAAATGTTAATTTGGAAAACTTATTACACAAAATGTGATATAAAATTCAATAAATGCACTTTTGCATTGCATTGATCCACCTTACAGCAAAAAGATCACACTGAGACAAAAAAAACTGCATAGTTCATTTGTTTCAGGTTAAGTGCAAGCTGCTTTCCTACTGGATAACTAAATCATATATAAGCTATGTCATTGTTAACTTTTCTTCTCCATCAATTTTGATATTTGGGGTCTGGAGTTTATATTTCATTTTACCAGCCTTTGTGTTGTAGGCAGTTGGCTCTCTCTCTTTTTACGCTTTGGAAACAATTGTAAAGCCTAGGGACATAATTGACTCTTTAATTCTCAGTTTTACATACCCCTTTTTTTGCGTCTATATGCTTTATGTTTCTATATTTTTATTTAATGCATCATAATTGTGGTATTCATCAAGTAATGATTCCATGATGTTGAGGGAAGCGACCTTTTCTTGAAAAAACTTTGGATCCTCTGTCAAAGAGGCGCATTTCTGTTTAGTGTCATTCCTACTTTCTTAATAATTATAACCTATTAATGAGGTCCCCTCGGTCCAGGAGGCTAGATTAAAACTGGACTTCCTCAATGTGTGACTGTATTTTTTGTTGCTTTCAAATGGTTGTTTCATGGGTATTCTTATTATTTGCAGGTTGAAGCTGCCAAGGGTTTCCTTGCAGTGTTGAGATCTTACTTGGATTCTCTTTGCTCTAATCTACGTTCTCACACAATTACAAATGTTCAGTCCAATGATGATAAGGTCTGTGTTTTGTCTCATATGGTATCTTGAGTAAAACTACTTATCAAAAAAAAAAAAAAAAAAAAAAAAAAGGAGGTATCTTGAGTAAAAAAAAATCTATTTGACTGGAACAGGATGGATTTTTTATTCTTTCTGATTTAGTGCTCTAAATTTCTGAAGGGAATGATTACCTCAGTAAAAATGTGGGAAACATGAAAATCTTCAAAACTTTTTCAGCAAGAAACATTACCATAATAAAGAAACCATTAAAAGACTAAAATACCCCGTGGGTAAACTAATTTCAAGTGTGCCCTAATATGACTATTTTAACAATAATAATGCTCTTTGAACTGGATTTTTCTGTTTTAGATATCGGTTAACAATTTCATCTTAAACTATAGGATAACTTGATTAAAATCAGAGATGTGTCCACAAGCAATAAGAATATATGAAAGTGTGTTAAGAAGCATTTTATTTGTGGTAAGCAAAGTTGATAGAAAACATGTGCAGTTCATTTTATAGGTTTACGATTGCTATTATCTATATGGAAAAGTAATCAAGTTCCTTGGCCTTCTGCATAGAATCCCCCTAACTGCTTACACTGGAAAAGCTCTGATGTTAATTTTTTTTTGCTCCACTAGTTGTTCAAAATCAAGTGTATCTCTCAGTGAAATACCTATGGAAGTATTATTCTTACATAACATATTTAGCACACCTGATTAATTGTAAAGTATGTGAAGCATTGAGGCAATTATCTGATTGTGATTTTTCAGGTATCATTCACTTAAAGTTCTTTTTAATCTAGTTGAAGTAGTTTTTTTTAATCACCCCTCTTGCAAAGGAATTTGTGTGGTTTGATGTTTGCAGTCGTGCTGGCAAGCATGTGATTATAAATGCATAAGTAAATGTTTGCAAAGGAATTTGCATGGTTTGATGCTTGTAGTCATGCTGGCAAGCATGTGATTATAAATGCATAAATAAATGTTCTCGTCCAATATGTTGTATATGAGCACTGCTCATATTTTGGAATTGCCATCAGTATATTGTTTCGCTATAAGATAACATATTCTTATCTATGAACTTTAGGTATCATTGCTTTTGAAGGAGAGTTTCATTGAGTCATTTGCCAAGCGAGATCGACCTTTCATAAAGGTGTGTTCCTTGTGCTTCCACTGTAATGTATTTGCTTAATACAATTAAAGGTCATTTAATAACAATAATATAATGTAGCCTTTCCACAGGTTGATATACACTGCCATTTATGATGATTTGGCAAGATCTATCAACAATTTTCTTTTATATTGTTGTTATCATGCTCAGTGGTTTGCTTTTTAGTAACTAACTTGTTTCTGGGTTATCATGGACCATTTGGTTTTTCTTCCGTAAATATTATGACTCAAGTTTTTGAGAGATGAGGCTCTAGTCAATCATACCATTGTTTTGCATCACTATGCATTTGATTTCTAGTAGTGGCCCAAATGACTGCCTGTCTTGCTCTTATTGCTATTTAAATTGTACCTTTCTGGAGTAGTAAAAGTTCGAATTTTTTTTGATGTGTTACTTTTTCCTTGTATTCTGTGATACAGCTTTTCGTGGACACACAATTGTTCTCTGTACATACAGATCTTGTACTCTCTTTCTTCCAGAAGGAATAATGCTGCCATACAAGGTTGGCCTGGAAATGTATAATTTTAATAGAATGCAAGTTCTGTAATTTATAATTTTTCAGTGTAATAATATATTTTTTTTTGTGTGCGCAATAAATAGTAGTCTTCTGTTTTTTTATCCTCACTGTTCCTCTCACAGTGAACATAATAATCAAATGGACATGTTTTATAGCCCTATTGAACACCATGATTTGGATTTTTAGTGGCATGCTGAATAAATTCAGAAGATAGGCAATGTTTTATACCAAATGATATATTAGAACCCTGTTTTTTTTTTCATGTGTATATGTGATTTACACCAACTCTTCAAGGCTGCACAATGCTGTTCTAGTATATTGTTAAGTAGTGATTCTCTAGAATGTCAATTTTTCCCACCTGGGATGTGTATTTTTTTTTTTTTTTTTTCCTTTCCCCTTGTTCTCCTTCATATTTCAAATAGAGGTGCAAAGCTTGAAATTACAACTTTCAAGCATGGGGTACAGAAGCTTCAGCCAGTCATACAATTACAATTAAGGACTGAAGTCGAAAGGTGAGTCTTACTCAATGTGCTAAGAACCAAACTGCTATTAATTTTCCAATATTGCTAACCAGTCTATGAAGTAATTCCTTCTCTTTTAAGTGTGATGATCATCTCTCTGCAGGCTAAAATTGGTTGCTGAGGAGTTGGAGCCGTGAGGTTGAAATTCTAGAAGCTCCCAAATCAGTCTCAAAGCTGCTTATTTAAAATTAGTTTTTAAGATGACCTCTCAGACCTCATGCAGGTATACCCAAAATTTATCATAAATACCCAAAATAATTGGCCTGGATCTCCACTAACAAGAGCACCTACTCCTGGACCCAGGTTACCCGCGGAACTTACTTCCACTTGGAGCTACCATCTAAATTGGTTCCCAAGTTTATCACGTTGTCATGTTTTATGCATGCGGACTCTCCATGAGAATTACGCGAGAGGTCTGTCTTCAATACTTAGCTTGTGGGGGCCTGGAGTATAGCTTGAGACCCATCAACAGAACCTGTACGGTATGAATGATTGTTATTAAGTTGTTGGAATTAAGATTTTGAGGTTTTTCTTGGCATTTATTATATTCCAGTCTGAACTAAAAACAGTCCCAAGCTCTGGAATTTCATGTGATTATGTTCACACACCAAAGGTCAAAATTTTGGCCAACTCAGAAGCCTTAGCCCCCTGTATACATCATTGGAGTGAAGAAATTCTTCTACGATGCGAGAGTTCATGTTCATGTGTGCAATAATATGCAGAATTTGCCCATATGTTGGGGTTTTAGCTGTCTCTTAACTAAAAAGAACCTTGTAATTATAGGGTGAGAAGAAACCGAACTCTTTTTATTATTATTATTTTATTAATTTGAGAATAAAAAGAAAGTTCAGTAAGCTTACAACGGTGGTAGACACAGGTATGATAATCCCTTCCCGTAGTCCTCTTATAGCAACTTAAGCCAAGCAATGATCATTATTATCATTTGTGTTAAAAATAGCGACCCTTTTTTCAGTCATTTTGGTTTTTTATGTTCTATTTATTCATGGTAGGTTAGGTACTATGAACAGTCATTTGTATCTTTCTGTTCTATATAAATATATTTTTTGGTTCTATTTATTTATGTCTGGTAAGACCTTGTGGCTGTTGGTCTTGGTGGTCCAAGGCTGTATCACTATGTTGCTAATATTTTTGCTTGGGACCACTATGTTATGGTGCTTACAGTGAGCTCGACCCCTCATTAATTTAATCTAATGAATGGCATCACCGTGAGCGCGTCCTTACCACAGCAACCTGGTTTGTGGTTCCTCTTGCTTCTGTACAAATTATGTTTGGCATTAAGCTTAGGGACATTCCAGAACTAGACACTAAACTCAAGATGGCTTTATTGAGGTGAGGTTTTTAAAGTTGGCTTTGGAATGGTGAGATTGAAAATGCCCTACTTTAAACTAGGCATGTTGAGATGTTATAATTCAATGTAAGGGAATCTTATTCAGCCATTGAATCAAATGGTCCTTGTCAAACCAGCACTAATAGGGTTTACTTTTGGAGTAAATGTGTGAAATAGTGTCATGTGTACTCTGCAACAGAATGCTTTGGGAATCTTGAAAGGGATTGTATTCAAGAAGAAATGCACCTGAGGAAACTTTGGGTTAAGTTGTTCTGAGACACTAATATTAAAGGTGTTTTGCATGTGTTTGGAGCCTGCCATGGGGACAAGGACAGCCCCATGACTGTATTGCAGGTACAACTGTTGCAGCACTAAGGAAAAAATGAAATATAGTGCATGTCATTTGATTGCAACCAAACAAAACTCTACAGAGGTAAGTACTTCCAAACAAAGAAGCACTTCTTGTGACTATTTTACTTGCATGCCATGTCTTCCTTGGCACTGTTGAGTGTCTCTGGCCCATCAAAATTTTAATTCCAACTACTTTGAGGGCAGGTAGGTACTTAAATCATCTTCTTACATTATGGATACTAATTTTCTGACAAAGATTTTGATGTGACAAAGTGTTAAATTGGTCGTCCACTGCTTTCAAAATATCTATTATGACCATGGTAGGTAATCAAATTAATTGGAATTTCATTTTAATAATAAAAAAGCAAATGTAAATATCCAAAAAGGAAAAAAATAAAGAAAAGGGCTCTAAATTTACAATTCAATCTCTCCGAACTCTCGTGCTAATGAGAAGTAGCTGAAGCTCTCCCAATTCTAAAATTCCCAAATGGAAGAAAAGTCGAAAGAGTAAATGAAGTAGGACTGGGGCTTCTAAGGTAAAGGTACAGGGATAAAAAGTAAAGTGAACAGTAATTGTGAAAGTTGAAAGCTTGCATACAATACAATCTTCTCTGTGATGATCCATACAGACAGTAATATTAATATAAAATGATACCTTGTCATTTATTTAATCCCTCCATCCTTTATTATATAGATTTCCGTATAGATAGATGGCAGAGACAATAGCTGCCACAGTGACAGTAGCTGCAGAGAGGGTGCCAGTCATAATATGAGCAACAGTACACTTTCAGGAGAGAGAGAGACACAGAGAGAAAGATGGCAGCACTTTGATCAGAACCCTTCATTAGTTTTATCCATGTACAGAAGATTCTGCAATGCAAATGGTCCCTGAAATAAATATACTACTACCTGCTACTCCTCAGAGCCCAACACTAGCACCCTTCTCTTCTCTCTCTCTCTGAAAACCACTGTCTCTTTCTGTGCCCTGTTTCTCTCTCCCTCAACTCTGAAACTCGTTCTGTTTCATCTTTGTTTTCTCTTTCAAATCTCCCTCTCTCTCTCTTACCCCTCTCCCTCTCTCTCTCTCAGTGATGAGTGCAAGAAATAGGTTACCCTTCACTCCCTCTCAATGGCAAGAACTTGAACACCAAGCTCTTATCTTCAGATACATGGTCTCTGGTGTGCCCATCCCATCTGATCTCCTCTTCACCATCAAAAGAAGCTTGGACTCTCCACTCTCTCCAAAGCTCATCCTTCAAGAACCTCAGCATAGTAAGCTCATTATTGTTCTATATTTACATTGTTTAGCTTCTTGTTCTACATACATATATACATTTAAAATATATATATATCTGTACCGACCTGGAACCTTGACCTTAAGGTTTGGGAGTTTAGACCCTAACCCACTGGGACAAAGGTAGGCCAGTCATGTACTATATTCAATAGTTCTTAGTATGTTATACTTCATTCTATCATCCTGTGCATTTGTATGCTTTCTTATGATATGGAGAAAATTAACTGCACATGTTAGGAGTTTGCAAATCACAGTCCAAAGTGACTAGCGGTTAAATTGATTCTTTGTTGTCAAAAATTAAAAAAAAAAATTAACTGGGTTGGAGTTGATTTGTGGGTGCAGTTGGGTGGAACTGTTTTCAGATGGGATTTGGGAGAAAAATTGATCCAGAGCCATGGAGGTGCAGGAGGACAGATGGAAAGAAATGGAGGTGCTCAAAAGAGGCATACCCTGATTCAAAGTACTGTGAAAGACACATGCACAGAGGCAGAAACCGTTCAAGAAAGCCTGTGGAAGTTGTTAATACTACCACTACAAACACAGCAGCAACAATCAACTCATTAAACACATACCCACCAACAATACCCATCTCATCAATCACCAGGAACCCTCCTATTAATCCCTCTACTTTTACCCAATCCACTACCAATTCTCACTTGCACTCTTCTCTCTCATCAATCCCCTCTAATACCCATCACTACCTCCATAACCATCCTTGTTACACTAATACCACTACTCAAATCCACCATCCTTACCTTTACGATTCCCATTCTTCTTCAAGACACCCAGGGATTGGTCTGTCATCTTATGACAATGCTTCTGACTTGCTTTTGGACTCTGGTCTTTCTTCCCATGCAGACAAAGATTACAGGTTTTTAAATTTCTATCTATTTAATTGTTATATATGTGGGCGGGCCTTTTTGCATAACCGTAAGATTGCCACGTTGTGATCTGGATGTCACGGGTTCAGAACAAGGAATCAGCTCTCCACTTGCGGAGCTAAGTCTCCCTACATCCGACCCTTCTCAGATCCTGCAATGGCAGCAGTCTCGTGCAGGGCCCGTCTATGTGTTTGTTAAATATACATTGCACTTGATTAATGAGTTTCTAAGTCTTGGATTGATGACTGATGATTTTTATTTTTTTATTTTTATTATTTTTTTAAATGATTGGTGAGAAGAAACAGATATGGTGATGGAATGAAAGAGGGGGTTGATGAGCATGCTTTGTTCTCTGAAGCTTCTGGAACTATGACAAGTTATTCTGGTTCATCCAAGAATGATTCTTGGCAGCTGACACCACTGACAATGGGTTCTTCACTCACCCATTTGAAACAGAGGAGTTACTCTGGTTTACAGAATGGATGCTTGAACTTGCAGGTTCAAGGCCTCACTGATGCCTCAAATCAACAAAAGCATGATCAACAACATTTCTATGGATTGGGTAGTCATGATGTCAAGTGTGAAATGTCCTTAAAAATTGAGAGAGATGATGAACCCCAGAAAGTAATGCACCATTTTCTTGACGAATGGCCGCCAAGAAACAAAGATTCATGGCTTGATTCGGATGAAAAATCGTCGACCACACAGCTCTCGATTTCCATACCCAACTCCTCACATGACTTTTTCATGAACCATAATGGTAATTGAATTTACATGTTCTTGATTTTATTTCCCTCTTGTTTTTTTAAATTTCTTTTCAATATGCATACTTCTTTTTGTTTTGCAGATAAATGAGTTAATTCAATAGATCAAAGCCAGAAGAGTACTTAAATGGTGGTGGTGGGTTAGTGCTTTTCCTCCTCTTGCTTTCCTTCTTCATATGACATTTGGATGGGATGTGAGAACTAAGAACTTCTCTCTTTACTTTGTTTAACTAGTTGTTGGATTGAATTATGTATGCTCTTAACTGAAGGATAAAATGTACTACTAGTATATAGTAATTTTTTTTTTTTTTTTTTTTCTTTCGGTTCTGCTTCTTTTTCTCTTTACTTTTTGCTTCTTGTTTGAGTGGCTCAGGCTAAATCCAAGAATTTGGCTCCACGTTTGTATGTTTTTATTGAAGAAGTTTTGGCCTTTTTCCATGGTTTTGCTTTCAAGAACCTGTTAAAGCTTTCAGTTTATTGTAACATCAAGGGGTCCCAATGGCTATTTTGGCTTTTGTTACTGTGTCATTTCAACTCAAGCTGGTAAAGTCACTGGAGACTCCACACGCACAGTGAGTTCAGCTGAAAAATATTTACCGCAGTTGTACTCAACTGTGGAAGGTGCACTGACCATATATGATTATCCCATTGACTATTGCGAATGTAAACATGTAAACATTTGAATACACACATTTACATGGAACCAATTACAAATCTTCTTTAACCGGTAGAGTCGAAGATGGAGCTCATTCTAGCTTGAACAATAATACATCTTTCGAATTCGAGCGGAAGTGGTCGGCTCGCATCATCCGGATTCGGCATTTCTAGATTTAGATAACCTTTGTTTTTCAAAGGGGGGATAGTACTTAATAGATTAGACTTTCGCTAGTGGTAATCACATCGGTAGTGATAAAGCATAAGCTTATCAGAGTAATGTATCTAAAGTTAAATCAGCAGTGACTAATGTTACTAAAGTAATGTGCATTCAACAGTGCTTTGGTAATTTTTGCAGCATATGTATATATATATATAGTTGTGCAAACTCGATAGATATGGCTAAGAATCAAGGTTGTTGGGTTATTATTTCTAGAAGAAAGGGCTATTTTGGTCAGAGGGTCACAAAGCAACCAGGTGACAAAGAAGTCACTGTATGGGTTGATACTCCATGGAGTTAAAGTGTTCAGAATTCAGTCTCTTTTACAGACTTATAACACACACAAAATTAGTACCTATGAGTATTAACTTTTTTTTACCCTACTTTCAAGACACAACCACCACAGTCCACGGCTCGCTCTCTTCAGTCTGTCAGTGTCAGGTCAGTCATCAAGTACTGACTGACTCAGGACATGAACCACCGACCCACTTTTTCAAGAGAGGAACACTGGATAAAAGGAAATAGGGAAGGAAAGGGAAATTATGGAAATTTTTTTCTTTTGTTTGGCAGAGGGGAAGAAAGAAAAGAAAGGGAAATAGGAGAGTTCTCTTCTGTTTTATATTCTTGTCCTTAATAAGAAAAGGGGAATAATGGATGATAAATATTTCACAAAACCTTTCCTTCCTAATTAACCAAACAGGATGAGAAAATGATTCCTTCCCTTCCTTTCCTCCTAGAAAGGAGTATACATTATCCTTCCTTCCTTCATCTCCTTTCTTTAATTTTTTCATTACTCAAACCAAATGAAGCTTAAAATAGTCTAAACCAAGCAACCAAAACATTTCTCAAGACTTTTTGCATGAGCAGAGACATTTCGTGAACTCTTAACAGAGAGGAAACTCTTAACAATAACAGATATTACAGGAAAATGAAAAAGAGGACTGAATTATAAATACCCAAATCATAGCAAAGTTGGAGGTCCAAAACTTATTGCCAAAATATTAAAACAACACACTTGCACAAACATAGAACATAGAAACTTTCTGGATGCTAAATCCCTTTATTTTCTATGTCACATGTAGATTCTTTAGCATGCAGATTGGCCTAGCTTAATAATTAATGAAGTGGGTGTAAGATAATCTGAGCTCCATGTTGTGGCTGAAGAGTCACGACAGTATGAGGAGAATGAGTGTAGGAGGGTGAGAGTTCAAATGAGAAATGTTGTAAAATCATAGCCAAGGCCACCTTAGCTTCTATCATGGCAAAATTTTGGCCAATGCAGGTCCTTGGTCCCCATCCAAATGGAAAGAAAGCTAGTTGATCCTTAGATGCCTTCGAAACTCCTTCGGAGAACCTTTCTGGTTTAAATTCTTCCGCGTCGTTGCCCCAAAGTTCTGGATCATGATGAACAAGTAATGTAGGCAAATTAAGATCAACCCCAGCAGGAAGGGTTATATCTCCGATCTTGGTTTCCCCATAAGCATGTAGGTACAGACCAATCACAGGTGGATATAACCTTTGTACTTCATAAAGTATCATAGTTACCTGCAGAACAATTTAGTGTTATGGTTGTTGGATGAATGTCATTTAAGTATCATCTCCAAAAATTCAAGAAAGATTTTTTGTACTTCAAAACTGTCAAAAAGTGGCCATATAAGAACCGCTTCTTGCTAGTTATATAACCTTCAAGCCATGTCAATTTGCATCAATGTATATGTAGGACCTAAACTGAAACAGAGCTTGAACTGATATAATTACCAGCCCAGCACCAAGTAGATATTGTCCGACTTATACATTCTTCTTTTAGTGCTCACGATGTTTCTCAAATCTCGTCTAAATGATTAAGGAGTGTCCACACATATAAATGACATGAACTTCTCCCCTAGGCGATGTGGTAGAGAGGATTAGAGGAAAAACTCCTCTTTTTGGGATGCAGCGAAGAAGAACACTTACAATTTTTAGGTGGCTTATAGCTTCAAAATCAGGATCCCTTTTCCCAAATGTTTGTAGTACTTCTTCCCTAGCCTTCCCTTGCCAGTCGGGGTGCATGGCTAGGACAACCATGGACCACGTTAACCAGCTCGACGTTGTCTCATGGCCTGCAAGGTAGAACAGCTTGCATTCTTCTATCACCTCTTCAATTGTCAAGCCATTTGTTTCATTGCTGCTTGCATTATGTGGTGAATTGTCCTGGTGATTAGATTGCAAGAGCACGCCTAGTAAGTCATCAACCCTGGATTCACCAGCTCTCATCGCGCTCTCTTTCCTCTGGATCAAAGTTCTGAGCATTGATGTGATCCTTTTGTTCAAGTTCTTTCTTCTCTGGTTCTTTTTTGTAGGAATAAATCTGTACAAGAAAATCAAGTCAAAACACTGATGCATACAAAAATGCACTTTTGCTAGCATTAAATCAAAATTTTCGCATCTTAAGTTGATGTTGGCAATGAAACCTGAAACCAGGAATGTATAAGGTTTGCATAGCTTCAACAACTAGTACTTGCAGCTCCTTTTGGAGTTCAAGGATATTCTTTCCTTCTTCATAGTTGCTTCCAAATGCTGCTCGAGAGATAATATCTCCGGTAAGACTCTGAAATTCAGGCCAGACATCCATTTCACAGTGTCCTTGATGACCAACTGATTTCTTCCATTTCTGGATCAACATGTCAGAGCTGGATGCAAATACTGGTATCATCCCCTTTAACAGAGAAGCCAGAAAGAGAGAATGAAAATTATAAACATAATCGCGGCTTTACAGAGGTTATGACTTTAAATAGAGTAAAACGATTAAAGAATAAGATATAGGTAGCCAACCCCTAATGGGTTAAGGGCTTTGTTGAGTTTCAATGAGACATAATACTCTTCACGGGCTTCCTCACATTGCGGGGTCTGGGAGGATCAGATATCCCAATTTTAGAGAGAGACTATTTCTTTGTTTCGATTATTTGATTTCTAAGTCACTTGTCGGTTGTGGATTATATAATTGAGCTTAATTAAGAATAGTATAAATAAAGAAAAAAAGCAGAAAAGGAACCTTCAATTTTTCAAGGTGGAAAGCAGGATTGATGATCCTTCTGTGTTTGGCCCACTTTTCACCTTCTAGGGTAGTAAGTCCTCTTGTAAGACTGAGAATAAGTGGGTTTAGTGAAGGCTTTTGAAAGTGACCTAGCTTGTTACACAGCACTTCTTTCATCAACTCTGGATCCTTGATAATCAGTCTAGGTGTTGTCCCAACCCAACAAAATCCCACCTTCCCTGTGTTCCACCAAAAATATTAAAATAAAAATAAAATAAAAATTATACGAACAACCAATGTTATACATAATACCATGTTTTTGGACAATATCATGTGTGAAAGGGTCGACACGTGGCACAATGTGGTGGGTGAGATGGAGTGGTTTGGACCATGCCTCAGTAATTTGTCTCACAAACTCTCTCATGTCCCCAATCAGCAACTTGTAGGGAGTGCCTCTGATTCCTTGCTGCTTTAATTGCTTCTCTAGCTGTTTGGGCTTCCACCAAATGGAGTAACAAAATCTTAAAACAAAATAGAGTAGTAGTAAGAGTATTGAAGAAATTATTAGAGACTTTATGATAAAGTTCTCCATTTTGATTGATTGATTGATGGATCACAAACTTGAGACCTTATGCTTTATATACAAAAATGTTGTGGCATTATCCGTATGAGATATTTGACTCTCAGTTTTATTGTCAAAATACTTTTATTTAAATAATTTTTTTTTTTTTTTAATGATTATTTGCTTCTTAGACTTTTGACTAATTTCCTTGGGGGAAAAGATACTGTCATGTGGGCTTAAAGTAGCTATGCTGAGTCATATAGCTCATTATTTTTTATTTTTATTAATTTAAGAAATTGAGTATTACAGGAACGCTCACACTGAGCTCGTGCCCCTCCCCCAACATTTTTATTTTCAAATTTTATGATGGGACAATGCAATACATGAATAAAGGGTAGAAATCACCCAATATGGAGTGTGAACCCTATGGACAGAGTGGTTTTCACTATCTCTAACATTTTAATAAATAGACCATCTAATGCACAGAGATGATTCTTTTGTCCACTCGAACTGCAAGTTCTCCCTCCCTCTTCGAGGATAAAGAGGTTATGCCACCGTAATCTAAATTATTTTAAAAGAGATGATGCACTTGTTTAAGTGACGTCTTTTGCGTGAAGGCAACGTATCCAACCTCCGTTTTGGGCCTCCTTCCAAATTAATTGGGCTTTTGGGAAGATGGATATGAGCTGAACCAAACCCACATCATCACTCAATATTATATGTCCAAGTATGAAGTAATGAACTCACGTATTTCTAAAGAAGGATGCACAAAAGGCTAAAGGGCCTGTTTGATAATATTTTGAATATTTTTCTATTATCAGAAAATTGGAAAATAAAAAATGATACCAAAATGTGTTAGGCAGAGCATTTTCAACATCGGCTTAAATACAAATTAATGACCCTTTTCTAGAATAATGTTACATTTTAAGAACACGAGTTTATTAGAAAATAAAAATTAATCAAGAATGTTCCAAATGGGTGCGTGTGACTTCCCAAAAAAAAAAAATTCTCAAGAATGGCCTTTTTCATTTTCAGAAACTGTGCATGATTAGGTGAGTTTAGATGGCTGGGCTAGCTTATTATTTCAAACCAAACAATCCCTTGTAACATCAGGGCCTCTAGATGCCATGTTGGAACTAGAAAATTTTATGGGCCTGGGCCTGGACCCATTAACGGATCAAGTAAAATTAAGTGGGGAATTTTCAAATATTGGTCATATTCTTCAAGTTGAGTTCAACATTCAAACTTTAGCCATCCTATCCTTATGATAGGAATCTCAGATTTCTTGATGATAATGACATCGTTTTCTTATGATCCAACGTTTTCTTCCAATTGGAGGAGAGTGAAATTTGATTCAGCCGACGTAACAATCCAATTACTAGTTTTTGTAAGAGAGGAAATCTCAATTTCCATTCCTCCACAAACTGACAAGGGAAGGGAATTGTTTTCCAAGGTTTAAACACTATCCATCTTAAAAAATAGATTGCATTTTTCACCATTTTTGTCATTACTGTCTAAATTATTTTTTAATAGGTGTAGTCTCATTCCAATGAGTTGCTTTCTATGATTGAAGCTCAATGTCATCTACTTCCTGTGTCCACTAATTTGTCTGCTTAGCTTTTTTTTTTTCCCTCGGAAAATGATTCTTAATTAGAATCGTTTATAGCATGCAATATTTTGGGGGTAATTAAGTAAATCAGAGCGCAAAGGACGTCTCAATGTCACTTACCCATATATGTTTAAACCAACTGCATAGAAAAACTTAAGTGAACAAGTAAAAGATCAATTAGTACCAAAGTTTAATTCCACCCATTTTTGGCCACACCTCACACTAAAAGCAACAAAGTTGAGAATTGCCGTTTGCATTAATGTTGACACGGTAACCTACTTCAATAAGCCCATTAAAATCCAAATACTAAAATCAACATATCATTTATCGAGGTGTCTCATTTTAGTAACTCAGTAATTTTATGTGAGTTCGGCAAATCCGACTTTTAAACGGTAAATTGTTATACACAAGGGTCTTGTGAGATAAGATTTGTTTACTCATCGGTGAATAGATCATTCTACCTGATGTGGTTCAATCACAAATACACAAATAAGTTGTAATTACAAAATTAGTAAAGTGATAATTGAGGACAATAATTTATTTATTGTTGTTATTATTTTTTTTAATAAATACAGTCACTCTCAATGATTTCCTTATTTTTACTTTCCAGATTTTGAAATTATAGACTATTTGTACATTTGTAATTGGACCATATCAGCAATTTGTAAGGATGATCTACTCACAAGTAATTAGACAAGTCTTATTCGATCTTGGGACCATATTAGCAATTTGTAAGGATGATCTACTCACAAGTAATTAGACAAGTCTTATAAGGAATTAATACCTCATTAATCTTAGAATATATATTCCAGTTATTATAGTATTAGGCACATGGACCAGTTTGTCCTGACAAATTACCTTTTCAATTACCTACTCGTAGCCGATCCTAACAGGAGTTGGTGTAGTTCCGGTTATGGTGCAGTTTTGATCATAGTTTGTAATCACGGTGTAACAAATTTGAATGAATATTAATGTAAATCGGTCGAATCAGCCTAATCATAAAAGTGTGTAGCTCTATAAACCCTTACAAAATGGTTACAAATTATTTGATATGACCGTCAATTAGTATTAGACACAGAAAAAAAAAAAAAAAATCATAATTACTTGCATGTTTGATGGACTTGGGAGCTTGTAATAACTTCTCGGCACATGCCAGATTAGAGAGAAAAAAAAGAGGAGAGAGAGATTGAGCGAGTGGGATGTGGGGACCTAAATAGGTTAAATGTAGCGTCGGTATGTTGAATGCCAACAATGAAACAAACAAGTCAGATCCATACAAAAAAGACATGAGAATTTTGACTTGAATAAAGCTGAATAGAATGGGATATTCTCAATGGAATAATAGTTTTAAATTAACAATATATCTGGACAAATATCTAGATTAAAACTAAAGAAAATTAGTTTTAAAAAATATGTTGATGTGATTGTGTAAAATATACAATAATTTTATACATTAATGACGTGACAGTATAACTTAACATAAAAAAAAAAAAAAAAAAAAAATTATACATTATATATATCTATATATATATATATATATATTAACATATTGTTAGAGATGCTGTTAGACACATGAACCAAATTGTCTTGACAAAACTACGCACTAAGGTTAAGAAGTAGTATTAGTATAGAAATTAAAATATGTAAACAAGAAGCTAATAGAACTTGAAAGCAAAATATTTAATTGGAAATTTAGAATCCGTTAACACAAATTAAGGGGGTGAGTGGGTTATGGTAGGCCCATGTGGTGCCTGCTTCCTCGGATGCTGTCCGTGCGGCCAACGGAAGGTAGCTACGTGGGTGGGAGACCTCCTTTTGAATTACTTACTCGGGTAGGTAAACCCTACAAGAACAGGAGTAGGTTTGATTTGTCTAAGTCACTTAGGTGTTCAGGTATTAATTACGACGAATTTGGATAAATAGAGTAGGTTTGATTTATCTGAGTCACTTAGATTTTCAAGTAGTATTAATTACGACGAATTCAAATAAATATTCGTGTAAATCGACCGTCAAATTAGATTTGGTGACATTATCAAATGGGGGGCCCTACAAGATTAGGAGTAGGTTTGATTTGTCTAGTCACTTATGTGTTCAGGTATTAATTACGACGAATTTGGATAAATAGAGTATGTTTGATTTGTCTGAGTCACTTAGGTGTTTAGGTAGTATTAATTACGACGAATTCGGATAAACATTCGTATAAATGGATCATCAGTGTGTTGAATGCTAACCGCGGGGCATGTAAGAATTTTGACTTAAAAGAAAGTTGAAAAGATGGGATATTTTCAATGGAATCTTGATTTATTATTATTATTATTATTATTATTATTATTTTGTTCGGTAATTAAAAAATTGGATTGTTATATATATTTTTTCATGTGTTTGTTATGTGTTTTATTTAATAGTTTTAAAACAACAATATAAAAATTATGTAAATGTGTTAAAATTTTAATTTAATATTGTTATACTGTTGTAATATGATCTAATTTATTGCATAAGATTTGATAAATTATTCTCTGTTGTCCTATGGAATCTAGTTTCGATTCTTTGCACCCGCTAACGACTAACGTCTCATCTAAAATTCTTACCATGAAAAAAAAAATAAATAAATAAAATAAAATAAAATTTGTGGTTTTGTACACTATAAGGCTTGATTTTTATTAAATTTTGAACGGACGGTGCCCACGTGCCCGAATAATGAACATCATTAAATTCAATTGTCAACATAATATTACTCCTTTAGTCTCAAAATAATTGGGTAATTTAGAAATTATAAATCAAAATATCTTGCAAACTTTTTTACACTTCAGAGTTTGTGAACCACATCCACATTACAGAGTTCAATGGTTGAAGCATATATCGACATCACTATTATTTTATGGTACCTGTAATCCTGTATAGGGAAAAAAAAAAATGTCTGGGAACTGAAGTAGAAGAAGGTGAAGTAGTTGCCGCACTATAAAACATTTGCTTTAATTGGTAATGTTTATATATATATATATATAGTGGTCCAGGATCCTCCTTGCTATATAAAATCACAATGCATTGACAAAATTGTGATTCCGGTGAACGGACGGATCGCAATCGTCCATTACGATACATTTAATCTTCCAATCAACTAAGTCACAGTCCTGGATACAAAAAGAGAACTCAAAATCAAACAACAGTTCCTGCATTTCATGTCTAAATAGCCAAATTAAGCTGAAAAATATATAATTAATGGGCAACCCAACGTACCCCATGAACCTGACTAGAGTTTATTTAAGCATCATATATTAACGTAACATAAACATACTTAGTATCTAATCTTTTTAATTAATTTATACAGATGATCCTGATAGTAATTTGCAGGTACATTTGGTTCAACATACTCTGTTAATAGGTCCAATCCTCCAAACAAGGTACTGACACATCATTAGTATTAACAACATTGCTATAATTAAAGTCACAGAGTCCGGAGAAGTCCGAATTGAGAAGATCCGATAAGCAAACCTCTCCAATGTTGAAATCCCAAGTGTGATCCTGATCTTCAAGAGTACCACTAAACGATGAAGCCCCCACACACGAATTCGATCCAAATATTGGTTCAAAAATGGAAGTCTCCTCCTCCTCCTCGACCACTGGTTGTGCCATCCCTATGTTGGTGTCAATATGTTCAATTTTTTGAGGGTGTGGTGGTGGTGGTGGTGGTGGTGTAATGACAACCTTAGAGCACATCACTACCTTGGTCCGGACCACATGTGACTCTATTTCTGGTGTCACCGGGAAGGCTGTGCCGGTTCTCTTCTTCTCCTTCTCATTAGAGTTCCGATTTGAGAGATTGCGAGTGGAAGCTGCGTTATGGTGATGATGATGATGCACCTTCTTCCCTAAGGTTGAGTTCCAATAATTCTTTATTTCATTGTCTGTTCGCCCTGGTAGCCTCCCAGCTATCAGAGACCATCTACGCAAATTCAAACACGACAATTTTTAATTTATTTAAGGTAGATGAATCAGATCCTATATTTTCAAAATTATGAAAACACAAGTATTAATTAAAATTTTTAATAATCTTTGAACTATATTTTTTCTAAAAAAAAAAATTTTACACTTCAAAACCAACAAATTACACCATCAAAATTGAAGTAACGGATCAAAATGAATCATATATATGTTGTATATATAATGTGTGTAAAATTAACCTGTTTCCCAAGAGGTTGTGAAGCCTAATAATGAGGTCGTCTTCATCAAGTGATATGTTCCCTCTCTTAATGTCTGGCCTCAGATAATTCAACCAGCGAAGGCGACAACTCTTCCCACATCTCTTCAAACCTGCATAAACAAAATTACCCAACTATAGTAGGGAAAGCTCTGTTTACATACATACATACATATATATATATATATACACACACACACACTTATAAATATATGCACACACACACACACACACACACACACACACACACACATCTGTGTGTGTGTGTGTTTGTGTGTGACCGACTAATTAAATACCAGCTTTTATGGGAAGATTTTTCCATCTTCCTTCACCATGGAGCTTAACATAGTCTGTGAGAGTTTGGTCTTCAAGAGCAGTCCAAGCACCTCTGTTCAAACCCTCCTTAGAACAACAAGGCCTCCTTCCCATCCCCTGCACCCAACCCACCAAACACAGATGCTAATGTTTTTCACTCCCAAATTAAACCCAGCTTCTGAGAGTGGGAGTGTGGATGTGGAGGCTGTCTTTATTTATGTATATATATATATATATATATATATATATATATATATATATATAGATTCAGTTTCTTCGTAGACTTTCCTCCACTTACGTATACAATGTCTCCTCAATTTGATTTTTGAATAGAGTAGTAGGTGGTGCTTTTTATTCTCAGTATGCATTGAATGCGTCATTATAGTATGGTATACATACGACCTGATAAATATTAGTAGTAAACATTATGGTCCCATTTCATTCAAATCAACCTCAAACAATTTTGGAATCAAATTGAATCCACTAAAATGAGATCCACTTGGACTACACCAATATGCATCGAAAGGTTTTGCTTTAATTAACTTCAATTAGAGAGTATAACTATTCAATTTGAGTTTGTTATCACCCACAAGGTGAGACCATTCTCAATCAAAAAGTCTAGTGAGCAATTCATTGTCTACGTGTTTGTTTTTCAGTGCTACAATAAGACAACTGAATATTTAAAAAATAAATTTAGAGAGGTTGAAACGAATTCAAAATTGTTTTAAAAGTTGGAGTTTATCTTAGTTTAGTCATTAGGAATTATCTTTGGTTTTTTTCTTAAGTTAAATACCAAAGCAGTTGATTGGTACTTTTGAATCTCTAACGAAAATCACAACATAATTAATCAACATTTTCATCTAAAGAGACGCAACAAATAAAGCTGAGTAAACCAGACCATAAACAAATAACCAACAAAACCCACATCACATGGGCTGACGTAAATTTATTAGTTATTTTACTTTGATATTGAGTAGCTGACTTAATTTTTTTTTCATGTTAAGAAGTTAATTTTCTATTGTAATTGAAATTAACAGATCAATCTTCATGATCATGTTCATCTGCCATTCCTAATTACTGCGACTCCCTCCTGAACTACCTTTCTTACGACGACTTTGAAAGTCTGTTGTTGTTAGCCCCGCCACTCTATCTCTCTCTCTCTCGCTCTCTCTCTCTATAAAGTTTCGCCACCAAAAGTGACAGCAGAATATACCGTGTATATATGCAGGAACAAACTTTGAGTCACCATAATATTCTATGGCCCAATGCCAACTTGGACATTTGTAATACCCCAATATTTTAAAAATTTTATTAATTAGTATTAATTATTTTTATTTTATTTTAAAATAATTTATTTAATTTAATAGAGATTAATTGTTTTTTATTTTATTTTTAAATAATTTATTTTATTTAATTGAATGCTTAGATTAATTGTCTTATTTTAATTAGATTTTATTTTGTGATTACATTTGATGAATTTCTAGATAGTAAATTTTAGTTAAGGGGCCTTGAGTTATGGAATCTTCAAGTTGTAACCATTGGAGAAATATTAATGGAAATTATTATTTATTAGTTTTCTTCAACGTATTATTTATTCTTTATTTCATTTTGTAATCTGTACTTGTTTGAAATACTTTAATTGTTTTGATATCCCTTAATTTTGTGCGCAAATTTGATCACTTGTGTTCCAAAATTAGAGGGTATCACAGTTGGTATCAGAACACTCCAGGTTCAAGTGTTCCTAGGGTGTCTTTCATTATGTGATTTTCGCGTTGTGTACTTTTTTATTTAGAGCTTAAGGTTAGGATTCATTATATTCTCTATTCGGTCTGTTAGTGTGTACATCCAAATGGTAAATCATTGAGTCTTATCAGAAAATGGTAGGACAACGATTTGGAACGTATTTAAGGAGGCAAGAACGTAGGTGTTAGGATCGTATGCTAAATCAGTATGTTAGGAGACAATATTTATTGTGGAAACTGATTAAATGACATAGATTACAACGGTTGATAGTTTACGTTCACATAGTAAACGTAAATGTTAGATAGAGTAGATAACTGAATTGTGGAAAGTTATTACTTTTACATTCAGTATTGTTCAGGGAGGATGAATGTAGTTTCAGATATTCTCGAATGTCAACACGATACAAAATGGTCAGTATTTGAGAAATAATTTGGTTTAGAGGTTGACCATGATCGATTGAGAGCATTAAATAAAACTTTCGGGGTTGCATGTTGGTATGGCATTACTTAAGGATTTGTATAGACGATCTTTTAAGATTTTCTTTTCGTGGATCCTTATTTAAAAGGAGTTAAATTATGAGTCCTACATTAATTAATGATATACTTATGAAGATATATTATTCTTTTTAGAGATCTTATTTGTGTTGCCAGAATGGGGCAAATAGTTAGGTTTTCATAAACTCGTATATTAGATTTCGAAAATAGGAAGCAGGTTATTAACTAAAACATTTTTTTGTGGAAGGTATAACGTAGATTGGCAATAAAGAGGAGGTTATTACCTTATTATGTGGGTTATTCGTATTTTGTTTGATTAGGCAATTAACTGTTGTTGGCGATATTATATATTTCACATCATGTATGTAAAAGGATATTTATGTGTTTTGCTGCAAGAAATTACAGCAATGGGATATTTTTCCAATCCATATAAGTTGGCGAGATTAGGTTGTAAATAAATGCAACGAGTATGGATTAACTTTGCATAGTCTTAATAAATTACGAGATATGCCTGCTAATTATGAGTATGTGTGGATGGGATAATTTCCACACGGATAAAGGGAACATTGAAATTTGAAATCAAATAATCAAAGTTTTTATTTCATGGATTCGTGAATTCCGAGAATGGAATTCCTTTTGTTAGGGGGGAAGAATGTAATACCCCAATATTTTAAGGGATTTATTAATTGGGATTAATTACTTTTATTTTATTTTTAAATGATTTATTTTATTTAATTGGGATTAATTGCTTTTATTTTATTTTTAAATGATTCATTTTATATAATTGAATGCTTAAATTAATTGTCTTATTTTAATTAGATTTTGTTTTGTGATTATATTTGATGAATTTCTGAATAGTGGATTTTGGTTAAGGGGTCCTTGAGTTACGGGATTCTAGAGTTGAAACCATTGGAGAATTATTAATGGAAATTATTATTTATTAATTTTTTTCAGCGTATTCTTTATTCTTTATTTCATTTTATAACCGTACTTGTTTGAAATACTTTAATTGTTTTGATATCCCTTAATTTTGTGCGCGGATTTTATCAACCCGTGTTCCGAAAGTAGGGGGTATCATAGTTGGTATCAGAACACTTCAGGTTCAAGTGTCCCTAGGGTGTCTTTCATTATGTGATTTCCGCATTGTGTACTCTTTTATTTAGAGCTTAAGGTTAGATTCATTGTATTTTATATTCGGTCCGTTAGTGTGTCTTAATGGTAAATCGTTGAGTCTTATTAGAAAATGGTAGGACACTGATTTGGAAGGTGTTTGAGGAGGCAAGAACGTAAGTGCTAGGATCGTATGCTAAATCAGTATGTTGGGAGACAAAATTTATTGTGGAAACTGATTGAATGACATAGACTACGACAGTTGATAGTTTACGTTCACACAATAAACGTAAGTGCTAGATAGAGTAGAGAATTGAATTATGGGAAGTTATTACTTTTATACTCAGTATTGTTTAGGGAGGATGAATGTAATTTCGGATATTCTCGAACGTCAACACGATACAAAATGTTCAGTATTTGAGAAGTAATTTGGTTTAGGGTTGGTCAAGATCGTTTGAGAGCATTAAATAAAGCTTTCGGGGTTGCATGTTGGTATGGCATTACTTAAAGATTTGTATGGACGATCTTTTAAGATTTTTCATTCGTGGATCCTTATTTAAAAGGAGTTGAATTATAAGTCCTACATTAATTAAGGATACACTTATGAAGATTACTCTTTTTAGAGATCTTATTTGTGCTGCCAGAATGGGCCAAATAGTTAAGTTTTCATAAACTCGTATATTAAAGTTCGAAAATGGGAAACAGGTTATTACCTCAAACATTTTTTCGTGGAAGGTATAACGTGGATTGACAATAAAGAGGAGGTTATTATCTCATTATGTGGGTTATTTGTATTTTGTTTGATTAGGCAATTACCTATTGTTGGCGATATTATATATTTTGCATCATGTGTGTAAAAGGGTTTTTATATGTTTTTGTTGCAAGAAATTACAGCAATGAGATATTTTTCCAATGCATATAAGTTGGCGAGGTTAGGTTGTAAATGAATGCAACGAGTAGGGATTAGCTTAGCATAGTCTTAATAAATTGCGAATAATTTACCTGTTAATTTGGAGTATGTGTGGATGGGTTAATTTCCACACGGATAAAGGAAACATTGAAATTTGAAATTAAATAATCAAAATTTTCATTTCATGGATTCGTGAATTCCGGGACGGAATTTTTTTTATTAGAGGAGAAAAATGTAATACCTCAATATTTTAAAGGATTTATTAATTAGGATTAATTACTTTTATTTTATTTTTAAAAGATTTGTTTTATTTAATTAGGATTAATTGCTTTTATTTTATTTTTAAATGATTTATTTTATTTAATTGAATGCTTAAATTAATTGTCTTATTTTAATTAAAGTTTATTTTGTGATTATATTTGATGAATTTCTAGATAGTGAATTTTGGTTAAGGGGTCCTCGAGTTACGAGATTCCCGAGTTGTAGCCATTGGAAAATTATTAATAAAAATTATTATTTATTAATTTTTTTTAGTATATTATTTATTATTTATTATATTTTGTAATCTGTGTTTGTTTAAAATACTTTAATTATTTTAATTTCCTTTAATTTTGTGCGCGAACTTAATCAACCCTGTTATGAAATCAAGGGTATCACAACATTTCACTTCTCATTGATGCAGAGGAGAGTAAGAAATAAGAGTTTTGTTCCGTGTATCATTTTTATAATAAGATATTAACTTTTCTTCTCTGTTAAGAACCAAAGTTTTCTTGGAGTATTATATTACTTTATTTGGTAAAAGTGTTCATTTAATTAACCAAAAAAAAACAAGGACAACAATGTTACGTCCAGAATGCAGCTCATCACGGTTTATGAATGATTGTCAAGTTGTCAACCTAAGAAGCAATAAACGGATCCTATTATTTTTTCAGATATTTGTCAAAACTAAAAAAATAATCATATATTTTAGTTTACATATATATATATATATATATATATATATATATATAGTTTGAAAATAATAAGTACAAAAAAAACAAAGGGAGCTGATATTGGCTGGGCCACAATTATCCTCAGGC